ATTTAGTTAGTGTAGAATAGATATTAATTCGTTTTTGTAAGATATTGATAAAATAGACTAATAGTCTATAGAATAGTCAGTTCAGGAAGATGGATGATTGATTTAGTTATTAAAAGCGGTTAATTACAAGATTATGGTTAGAATTTGGAAATCATGAACAATTATATAGGAGTTGTAGAAGTTTGTTGGGGTACTAGACTGTGATAGTTATGAGCCGGAGTAAGCTTGGTGCTACCTTTTTGTTTCTTTGTTTCTTTATTGTTGAAGAGTAATGGATAGTTTTTGAATACTGAGAAGTGAGTCTGTGGAATAAATCAGGGATTGATTTATGAGTTATTGATTATGTAATTGGAGTACTGAGTGATTGAATTATATGAGGAGTTATTGAAAGATTATGATTGTTGTTTATTGAGAGCTGTGTTTGTTTGGACAAAGGAAGTTGGTGATTACAAAAATTCTGTGAATTCAGATTGTTGGAGTGAAATCTGTTATTCCTAGTGTTGGATGGAAATTATTGTGTTTTAAGCGGTCTTTTGAGAGTACAGGATTGCACACTGTTGTTATCAGTTGATGAAGGAATATTGTTACTGGAAGAAAGCATCATAGTGTTTCTTGGTATTTTAGTGGTTTGGAATACAGTTAATTGTGTGATCCTAACAAGCAAAACTCATGCATTTAGTCTTTCCTTGTGTTTGAATTTTCCTATACAGGTTTATTCTGAAAAGAATTATAGAATAAGTAAAATGACAATCACAGTTAGTTTTAATAATTTAGAGGTTATTAGTCATTGCTATAAGAGTTAATTGAGAGCCTATGAGTTCACCTACAATCATCTCATATGATTTAGAAGGAATTCAAATTATAATTTTCTAAAAGATTTTAGTGAAGGTTAGCAATGGCAATTTTGAAGTTTTCCTCGAAATTCAACATATCCAAGTAGCAAAGGAACTTTTTTAATTAATGGAGGCCTTTGAAATGCAATGGCAACATCAGATTCATCCTATAGAGTGAAAAAAAAATATCAGCACTTTCTCTACCAAAATACAAGTAGAGCCATGAAGATGTCATTTTTGAAGGAATTTTCAAAAATTACTAAAATCTTTAGAGATAAATATCTATATAAAAATTGCATATGACCATGGATAAGGACATGTGAGTAGTTGAGCATAGCATAAAAAGATATTTTGAACACAATGATGAAGTTATACTTACCAAAAAGTGTTTTTTTGACCACTTATAATAGCGATCAATATTGATAACAAAATTAGTTCTTGGATGAATAAAGGCCATAGATCTAAATTAGAGATCTTAGAAATTAAGAGTAGAGGTATGGCCGCCTTCCATGAGCCTCCACTCACTTGTATAAAAAGGCTTGGTTGCCCAAACTATCAGTCTCTCTTTCTTTGAATGAAGGGCAAAGCCATGCCAAATTTTGGCCTCAAATCTGAATTCTAATCTCATATTGGATTCTAGATCTTATTATACACCTTGTGAATATATAAAGGCATTGATTTGTATTATGGACAATGCTTGTTGTGGTTTAGAAGGTACTCCATTGGAATTAGTGGTTCCCAAATTCTTCAATAGTCAAAGGAATTTGAAGGAGATCTGATGCCTTCAAGTGGAACAAATAAATAAATAAAAATAAAATATTGGTTAACATTGGTAACCATTTCTTAGAAGGTAATAAATTAAATTTAATTATAAATATCTATATTTTAATTAATTTAATAATTAGATAATTGAAAGTTTTTATTCTATTTTTTAAACGTGTTGTATAATACTAATTTCTCAAAGTGGTAGAATTTGAGTTCATAGCTTCATAAATAGAATAGAAAATATTTCTTTTTTAAAAAAGTATAAATTTTTTAAAACACTCAAGCTTCATAAGCTTGTCAAATGGATTAAAAAATCTTTCTTTTATATATAAACTTTAACTATCAAAGTATTGAAGTTTAACAAGCTTGCTACAAAAAATAAAATTTCTTATTTTCTTAAGGATATTTGATTTATGTAGTTGCTTAAACTTGATAAATTTATCATATGAATTATAAATTGTACTTTTTAATATATAAACTTAGATTCTTAAAAATCTCTAGTTTTCCAAATAAATTACAAAACCTTATTTCTTTAAGTATACTCAATTTGGACAATTATTCAAGCTTGAAAAACTTGCCATATGCATCAAAAGATATTTTTCTTTGAAGACAATTAATTTTTCAAAATTTTTAAGCTTAACAAGCTTATAAAATAGATTCAAAAATCTTTTTTTAAAATTAATTTTAAAAAAAATTCAAGTTTAAAAAGATTGCCAAATAAATTAAAAAATCTTGCTTCTTTAGGAATTTCTAATTAGATAGATTGCACAAGCTTGATATACTTGATAAATAGATTGGAAAGTATATCTTTATTTAGACTTAAATTGTCTAAAAACTCAATTTTAATAAGCTTTCAAAATAGATTGAAAAATCTTTTTTCTTTAAAAATTCTTTATTGAGATGGTTTCTCAAGCTTTATAAGCTTCTTAAGTCGGTTAGAAGAACTTTATTCCTTGATAAGATTTAGCTTATCAAAATTTTAAAGCTTACTAAGATTGCCAAATAGATTAGAAAATCTTTCTTCTTTTAAATGATTTGAATTGAATGGATGTTCAAGCTTGATAAGCTCATGAAAGCTCATCAATGTAGTTTAAAAGCTGCAAACTTTTAATTTTAATTAAAATTCCCAAAGCATTCAACTCTCTACCTTTAATAAGGCATAAGTCTTTTCATCTTTGTAATAGATGCTTTGCTACAACATATTCTTCAATTTTAATCATCTCTTTGTTCTTTAATTGAAAGATTTCTACTTTACACTAATTACATGATTCACAATATTTCACTAATAAGAAGATTTTATTTACTATTACATAAAATTCATTAAATAAAAATCCAATTCTTTCTAAGTCTTTGCTGTAAGTTATTAACTTTTGAAATACTCTTAGAACTTGTACAACATTATGAAATGAAAATTATACATTCATATCTATTTGGTGTTTTTTTATTTTTTATTTTTTTAAAAATAAAAAATAGAAGCTTCATGACATCAATATGAATTTGGCATTGGTTCCATATGTCTTCAATTTCAATGTTTTTCCCATTTGGCACATCATTTGCATCTTGAATCTGATTACTCTATTTCTTAAAGATCTTAAACTAGACTCTTTTCAAAAATTGAACCAAATACTTTCGAAATATTGATATGTATGTCATAAATAATTCTACAAAATTAGCCATATTAGATTTTTACAATATTAAATTTTTTTACTTTAATATATAAAAGAATCAGTATTTCTTTATGTATTGCTCATGTACTTTACACAGAAACCATGCACAACAAAGAAAGAATTATACACATCTGAAGCGAAATCAGCAGCTAGGAAAATCTTTCCCTCTGCGTCACCAGATGCAACTCCAGGAAACGATGGCCTGCATATTCACTTCCTGGGCCTTCGACACAACGCACTCCGACTCCCTCTCACCGTCTTCCTCAAGGACCCACAGAAGACCCGCTCCAAGCATCACCAGTCAACCAAGCACACCCAGCTTCTCAACCTCCTGATCCCTGCTTCAAGCATTCTAAAATGGACAACGAAGAATAATACACAACTCAGAAATGACTGTGCAAGCCCAAAGGAGATAACTTACCACCGTAGTGCACTGCTCAAACGCTCGATACCCACATCAAAGCACCTGCAAATGAGCGATCGCGTTTCAGGACTCTCTTCTCGTGTCTAGTTCTCCACAGGAACAAAACTCTCCAAACCGCAACATGTGCCTGAGTAGACAGAATCCTTCTACGACCACGACGGATATTTAGTGACTGCGGTGGAGGTGCGGATAAGCCCAGTCAGGCAGCGTAGCAGCACTCAAGCCAGGCTGAGAGGGGAGCAGTGAGATGGCAGCGGAGTCGGATGGAACGAGAATCGGTTGAGTAGTGAGTTTTCCTCCAAAACGGTTCGTAAGGGAAACGAGGGCTGGTTTTCTCTCCTGTGAAATGCCAGTGAAGTTTTGAATTCATGAGCTTCGTCATTTTTTCTGTTAATTTTTTCTTTGTTGATATAATTTTCTGTTGGATTTTCTGTTATAATCTGCACCACCGTTTAATGCTGAATGAAAGCGACAGGCTTATGAAGTGGCTCTCATCGCACTTCGCTTCCTGATGTGGACATCGCTACTCGACAAGTATTAAACGAGGGTGTACCGGGTTCATCTGTCGGACAGATCCTGGTAAACCCAGTCTAGGTCCTCTTTCGCCTCAGGGTTAAACGAAGGCCTACAAGATAAGCTACACACTCATTTCTTTTGGTCCTCCATACAGCTCCACTCTCGCAGCCTTGCCAGCTGATATGAACTTTTACCAGATGTATTTTACGGATCTCTGTCAGGTTTTCGGATGAGGAAAAACATTAGCCCATTCTTATTTGGTCTCAGATTTTTCTACCGACGCCGAGAATATCTTCCACCCCGTCTATAGCATTGTCGAGATTTTGGACAGTGCATGCGAGCAGAAGCTTTGTGCCTCATGTGAATGGGATTACCAATGTTAATGGAACATGCAAATCTATTTCGATACACGTCTTTAATAGATGCTGCTTTAGTCATTGTTAAGTGCTCAAGTGTGTTACAATGACTTCAAAGGGTGCAGTGCGTCTTATTCTTGTTGAATGTGTGGATAGTATGAATTGATTTGGTTCAAATGAATCTCATATGATTAATGTGCAGTTGGAGCAATTACAGCACTAAGTAGAAACAGATTTCTCATTGATCACTCCTAACATCAGAGTAGAAAAATTGCGATGCCCTTTTGATTATGCAGAATTTTATCTAGCTGCAAAGTATTGATGATTGCTACAGAAGACTTTTCAAATGCAGCCCAACTAGGTACCGTTACATTCATTAGCAATTGGAAGAGGCACTAGTGATTGCTGGCAGTGAAAGATTCAATATTCTCGCTTCTGGTCATCCACTTAGAATATACCATATGTATATATATTCTTTACGTCGATTACACATGTCAAACTAGCTCAAACCTGCAATGATAAATTTTGGAAAAGTAAGTCAAACAAAACCCTCCCCGACTTGCTTGACCTCTGATCAAGTATCAATAAATGGGTACTGCCCAAAATGAACAAAAAATAAAATAAAATAAAACAAACATTCTTCTGTGTCTATAAGTATTCCCGTTGAAGGCGACGAGTCATTCCTACTCTAAACTGAGACATAAACCTCTACAAAATTGTTGGTCCAGGGAATACAACCACCATGAACATAGAGTCAAATTACATATCAACACTTGGTACGCTACGCACAAAAGCCTTCAAGCATAAGCAGTATGCTTTCCACCCCTGGAAGACTCGTGTAACTGCTGGGAGCGCTTGAAAGTATAGATGTTGTCTATGCGATCAGCTGCTGCTCTGGGTGAAAACTTGCCGTCAACAACATCACCAACTCCTTCTGCAGCGTCTTCAGAAGTCACTTTGCTCGTTTTTTCTCCAGGTGCCTCGCTTTTAGCAGCTTTGAACTCTGCAAGGTGTTGACCTCCGTACACTTGAATGCTCAACTTCCTGCGGTTTGGAGAGTCTCGAGCAATATTCTGTGCTACAAAACTCAACAAGTCTTCCTTGTTCACCATTTTCAAGGCTGCTACCTGAAAGTGAAAGTCATCGATCATGTGACGCGTCATGTACCTTTCTAGTTCATAAAAGGTTCACAGGCAACAGGACGTTTCAATTGGGCAATACTTCAAACTCAAACTATACCTCAACTTGTGGCCTGTCGAAAGTCAAAGTTCCGTCCTCAATTTCACCCCAAAAAAATCTGCTCTCCTCCCACAAGTTTTTGTGTTTCTCGAGTTTGATCTGAATCAAGGTGTACACATTTTTCTGTGTATAACCACCAAATCAACTCTGTTAAGTTCTGGAGGGATCCTCCTACTAATGTTCCATCAAACCTAAACACTGGAGGGTGGGGAATCGGAACAATATTTTCTTTTATCACCTTGAAATCTTCATCTGACATCTTCTGCAGATCATTCTCAAATTGCTCGAGAAACACTTCAACCCTCTCTTCAAGACCTCGGGGATCCTGCATTTGGGCATATTAGCATCAAGGAATCTAATCAACAGTAAATGTATACGTATATATGTATTTTAGTGCTTGCAGACAGAATCCGAAAATGGACACATTCGTATTCAAGTTATTCTTCAGGAAAGAACTTTGCTCGAAAACAACAGTGGAGTTAGAAAAGACCATGTTCCACAACTTACCTTTGCAGTGGATTGAATGATAAAATGCGCCCCACGTACTCCAAAATCATTTCTAAGACAAACAACACAGATGGCCACATGTAGCAGAACAAAATAATGATTCAAGCAGAATCGCACTGATTACAATATTAAATAAATAAAAGAGAAAAAGTAGATCACACCTCGGAGTTACTTGGGAATTGGACTTACTTGGACATAAGAGATACAACATAACCAAGTTGCTCCACTGTACGAAGTTGATGGAACACTTCACGTTTTGCGGCCAGCACAAAGAGTTCGAGAAGTGCATTCATGTGCGTGTTATCCTGGCCAATCTGTGACCTCAACACCAATCAAGTGTAAAATGGGGCTCAAAACCAGAAAATAACATCCAATCAGGTACGCACCTTTCTTTGCCATGCTCTGTCACGAATTACAGAAGTTCATTATTCAAAATTCGGCGGTATAAAAGGTAATACTTGATCGCAGTACATTCAAGAAATGTAGAACACCTGGAAGTAGGTCTGCAAAGCAGAATTATCATCGTGAGGATTTGTTCCAGCAATTGGGTAGTACCAGTCGGCGCCAGGTCCGAACTTCACAATTCTCTGCTCTGTGTGCTGAGATTGGAACGGAGGCCTTGCCTTTATTAAAGGTCCATCCGCAAGGGAGTTCTCAATCTGCTCCACAAGGCCTTCCGCCTCAGTGCATGTCAAATTTCCTGAAAAAAGAAGCCCTGGAAATGTTGGTTTCGTGCTCCCAGAGTACAAGCGAACACTTTAAAATGAAATCTCCTTGTATATGATTCTCTATATTACAGAGCGAAAGTATTATTCAAATTTGTTAAAAACGAAACGGGCTGAGCATTTTACTACAAATTAGATGTGCTACAACGTCAGTTTTCAAAATTTTGTTATGGTTTAACATAAGACGCAGAATAATCTTAAGCTAACACGAGTATGATCACCTGTGAATAGATTGCAGAATCCTTACCTGCTATAAAGCACTCCAAAAAAATTCGTGACAGAATGCGCGGGTAAAATGCAATCAAATCACGGGCCTCCAAGGATGGCAATACTTCAATAAACTCATTGATGTGCCAACGTTTGTGCTCCAAAAGTATAGAACAATTATACATGACCTGCTGGTATGGTTGCTGAAAACGAAAATTCAAATAATCCTTCATCACTTTCTCCTGTATCCATAAAATACTAAGAAAATTAGAGCAATTTAAGCAATTTTTCCTCATCATGTGCTTCGTTTTGAAAACCCTATCATCTAAATGGAAGCTGTACATGCTCCGAACTTGGACAAATGGCTTAAGGTTTCATACTTCCTCAAAATATGGACCAATATAAACCCTATAACTACATCATCTTGTTCCTTCCTGAGCTACAGAAAAAATTGAGACCGTATCTCCTATGATAGGCAATTAGAAATTAACAGAGTAAGTTTTAAACCTTAATGACTGAAAATCGCTCCTCTTCCACTTCGAAGTTAACAACCTTATCAATTATCTTCTCTACCAAAGCGATCAGCTTGTGGTGGTAACCTGAAGCAGACACCTATATCCCACTCATCAATTTTCACGCAATAGAAAAACTCCATATACTTCACAGTAACCGTCTTCAAAATTAGCACAAGTTGCGAAATATAAATCAAGTTCAACAACGATGAAAAGCACACCTGAAATCCAGTCGCGGTCGTTACAATACCGTAATTCAATCCAGCGACCTGTGCATAGTATGCTGCACAAGCACAACTTCAGAATTCTGGACAAGGATGTACATACGATGTCCTCAGAGCTTCTGAGACTTTTCATAAAAAAAGTACTTGGGAAAATTGTTCTTATCTTACATTTCCAAGGTGTTAATAAAAGGTCACGCAAGGATGCCGCTCTACAAGATTACCAAGAGAAAAAATTAAATTTTTTTATTGCGTTCAAATTCAGGTTTTAATCAGAATATTGTTTCAGTTGTTTGCGGCAACAAATATCAATTGCTTTTTGGTCAAAATCTGGACAAATACGAATGAATATGGTGAGCTCACCATATTCATTCAAGTAGTCTACTAGTAGTTTTGTGAAGATACGGGTCAATACGCTCGCCTCTGGGGAATAGTGGGACTCAGGGCAGTTGAACTGCATTTGAATGCATGCCTTAGGTGTACGGAACTTAGTATCAGGTTTGAACCATAATCTCGACATCTTTGTTTTCCTCAAGATGAAAGGATGATCCACCTGAATATTGATGACACCGCATTGAGTAGTTGGAGCATAGTGCAGGAAACAACATCCAGACAAGATACACACTTACAAATTTAACAAAATAATTGGTAAAAAGTGTATACTTTCGGCTCAGGATCCCTCAGAACAAAATCAGTGGGAATGAAAACATTTGGCTTTGGCAAATGCAGCTTTTCATGAGTCCGGGCAGTTGACCACTCCTGCAAGGATAAATAACGTGAGAATGTAAATGCAGCCATCAACTTTGGAGGCCTTGTGTGCAGAAAAAAATTACGTTTGAAAGTTTGGCAACCTGATCAGTAACGTAGATTTCAGTTACATGATGCTTTCGAACCAGATTCAGTTTCTTTCATGTGTTTATCAACATACGGCGATAAATTTCTTGGGGTTATTTTGAACAAATTAGACGGACAAACATTGAACCTAAATATATGTCAGAGTGCAAAGTGTAAGGTCGTACCTGCACCAGCTTGTCTTCAATTCTTTCTATAATGTAATCTGTCCCATACCAGAGCTCTTTTTCAGAGGTTTTACCTTCAAATTGTTTTGAATACCAAAATATCCTGAAAGACTTGCATCGAAATAACTATCAGCGACAGACACAAAAAGCTTCACTTTGCTTGCACTTCAAAGTAATCTGCCTCAATTTATCTTCTGAATTAGGTGCAACCAGCATGCTTAAGAAACAAGAAAAGGTAATCAAGATCAGCACCTCACTCGCTCGGGTTTCAGTTGTTCAATTAAGCCTGAAAAGATCTCTGCATCAAAACGTCGGGGCAATGAAGATCCTGCTACCCAATCTCTTGAAGGATAAAGCTGCACAGACAAGAGAAAAAAATTAAGTCTACATTTACAAACATACCGCAATATGATTCACTTCGTACCAAATAAAAGACATTCACACATAAATATGTATAACCAAGAACACATGACTTCGTAGAACACAATTGCACTCTTGGTCTTAACAAAGTCGTACCAGCATGTTCCCTGCAAGATCTGTGACGTATGAAATGGGAGGCCGCTTGTCCTGGAATTGAAACTTCATCTCGCAAACAGCTCGAACCTTCTCCATAAAAAATGGAAATATAGTAAATTGACAATGTTCTCTGATCACATTTTCATTGAACTCAAGAGCTCTGGAGCTTAAAAAAGTAATTCTCCATCTACCACAGACAGAGAATACTGGATACAATGAATACCTCTTCAAACATCCACTCAGCAACACCCTCCTGTTGCAATACTCGAATGTACTGAAATGTGAGGCTCGCGACCTCTTCCATGTGCTCTGTAACCACAATGTAGCGTCAATGATTCGCCAAGAGGATAATAATGATTTAGACTTTACATCAGCTGAAGGTGCTGAGATAAAGGGTTCATAGTAGCATACCTTGTCCAATGTCAGTCAATTCAACTGCAATCATAAAAAATCCATACTCCAAACTGCTGTCTATCTCGCCAGCGCTCAAGGCATTTGCCCAACCTGTCACATATGCCATTCATGAACATGACCTATTGAACTATGCTTCACATGGACAAATAGATTGAAAATCGTTTTTTGTATCATGATGATGATATCTACTTGACACTTCTTCAAATCAAATCATTCATGTTTTTACCCAAATTAAATGTGGGAATAATGAAATGGGCAAGATACAGACCTCAATAGACTATAATATGCCTTACACAATACAATAATATAAATGAACATTACCACAGTATGCAGCAAAGCCCTATTAAGAAGAATCTTTCATGTTTTACCCAATTTCTTAAGGAGTGCAAACAGAGATCCCTCAGCTTCATGTCCAATTAAGTGCCCAAGGTATCGTGATGGTGCGGAAATGTAGTTTTGAATCTCCGGTATTATAGGAAACATCATTTCCAGGTTGTGCCCCTCTCTGACAGGCACAGCCTTGACTATTATCTGTAGGTTTCACATTCCAAAAAATAAAATTAAATGCACCGGGAAAGAAGCAGGGAATAAATAGTACATACTTGATTAGAGTAAAAAGGACACTTCATAGTAAGACCACTATACCTGCATGTGTTCAGGAAGACAGGGCTGTCCACTGAATTTTTCAGCTTTCTTGCCCGTGTTCTTGATAAGGTTGAACTTATTATGGACCAAATTCGCAAGTTCATCTACCGAATCTGTTTCATACGATTAACATTACACGAAGTGAACTGTATCACCAAGGTATCCGTCACAACAGTTTCATGTATTCTAATATACAAGGGAAATGTGTAAGGCAACCTAGAAGCATCACAACGAGCAAGGTTATGAAGACCTTGATGAATGGAAAATCGCAACGAACCAATCCATAGCTTACCTCTACCATAGACAACAAGCCGCATGAGGTTAGCAGAATAGTGGGTTTTATAAAATTTGACTAACTCATCACGAGTATCAATTCCCCTTGATTTTGGACCAATATCAAGAGTCTCTAAATTTCCTGCATACAGATATAGCCGTCAGAATTCCTGTGCCCGTTCAGTGCTGTGATGTGAAAATCGTCCTGCTGTGGATGATCAAGGTAATACTTACCAGTTCCAAACTTGTGAAATGGGTGATCTTTAGAGCTCACCATTTTTGTCAACTACACAACACAAAGCATTATCTTCAGATTGGTAACTGAAATTACAGATCAGTAACTTTGTTGATTCAGGAACAAGCTAGAGTTACTTAAGACAAGTAGGAGGGTACATACTTGATTCATTCGCCACATATCCATGGTCAGATTCTTGCTGTTCTCTGATAAGCACAAATTCCATCTCACCCCACTATAAGATACAATAATCAACGTAACTGACTTTTCAGGCGGAAAAGTTGGTATTTAAATAACGCAAGAGGATAACCTTATCAAGGTCAGTATCCACAAAGACTTCACGACTAATGCAAGCTGCAGTGTTTACACACAAGACTGAGAATAGTTTTATTTCATGTATGATTTGTTCCTTTCCTACTTGGTAACAGCAATAATAGGAACCTCAAATTAATCAAAGATTCCTAAACATCACTCTGAAAATCCAGCAGAACATGCACCACCTGAGTGAACAGCATTGATTTCCCTTGACGTTGCATCCGCAGAGAGCAATGGGCATATAAAAAACTGAGCAAATCTACACACAGTATCATCACGTGTCAAGGCAATAACATCAATATAATACATGTAATCTAAAATCTTCAATGATACTTCTCAATATATTTTCGTCCGCTTCAGCTAGTGTACAACACTCAGGTGCTTTCTCTTGTCAAAGAATTCAGCATTTACCGGTCCAAGGCTTCTTCCAGATAATCTGCGCTAATATCAAAGTGATAATTTGTATGCTCAGCTGCAGTGAAAGCATTCGAATGGCCTCCATGCTGCATTCAAAACAGCTCTTAATAAATAAACGACTTAAGAACAACTGGTACGCAAAATTTCATATGTTGAAAAAAATCGCAAATGAAAATATCTGACCCTGCATGTGTACCTCTGTAAGATACTTGGAATAGCTGTCTTCCTCAGGATACTTCTCACTGGAAAAGAATAGCATGTGCTCTGCATTTCAAATCCCAACTCAAGGCCACGATCAAAAGTTGATGGAAGGAACGAAAAAAACTGGTTGAAGCTACTAATTACATCAGGATATAGCGAAATGCTAGAATCCACAACAACGCAATAGCCTTAGTTAATTAAAATCCCTGCAAGCATCGCGGAAGACTTGAACTCGACTTTCCATCCCATGAGGTCACAGAAAGTCAAAGTTGCCTTTTAGTAACATAAACATGAGAGCCGCCACCTGCAATGATCCTGCTGTAAAAACAGCCTAACGCTTCATTACCTGTTATAGAAGAAAACTACAACGATTCTGACTAAAACCTAGCATGTCGAATACAGGGGCAGTATATTAATATTTCATCAAAAGAACCAATAGTGGTGACAAGCACAAGGACAGAAAACACACCCAAAAAATGAGCCAATCCCTCGAGACCCTCAGAATCACTGAAAGATCCCACATTCACAACCATCGAAGCTGCAGCCTGCAAACATCACAATCCAATCTTGCCATATGCAATAAGAAATTGAAAAATAAGCACATATTGAGATTACCCATAGAGGAGCACTTACAATCTGAATAGCATGCCAGGGGCACAAGCATTCTCAACATGCAAGGCAGAACTAACTAGTGCACCACAATTTACTGTATCAGCCACTTTCAAAGCAGTCTCAGGATAGAAGTATGCAGATAACTAATATATTTCGTTGCGAAAACTTCAAGATAATACCAACAGCTACCAAGTTGGTGTGCATCCACGGCTTTAAATATAGTCAACCAACGATTGAGCAATAACCACCAGCCCCGAAGAAGACTCGCTAATCCAATAGGTACTTTCCAGTTTTGCAATTTATATGGTGTGAGGAAAAAAATTGAAAGACTGGCAAATGACAGAGAATTCTGGATATGTCATGATAAGAAAGTTTGTTTGATATTTTCAGATATTTCTGAGGAATCAAATCAACAGGGACAATGTAGGAAGACAACCTGAGACCAAGATTCAGCATTCAGATTAATGCTTGGAAAAATAATAATCCGGCCTACACCTCACACAACTACAAAACCCTGAAGACACCAGCGCCAAACTCGAAATTGCGAGGTTCGTAACTGGTGTCCAAACTAATGCTTAAATATTGTTGTTAAAAAAACATACATGTATAGAAATATATATATATATATATATATATATATATACACAGGCGATGCCACAATGCTTGCGCTCTCAATCCAACGACACTCAAGCAATTGAATTCGACAGAAAATTCTTTTTCAACTGATAATCAGCCGTTCTGTTGTAAAAAGCATCAGATGAGGGAAATATGGTTTAACATGAGCAGCACTGCAAGCGCATGAGTGCTCAACAACCTCGGCCCTACTTTGAAAGCGAGCTAATTACCTCGAAATCCCCAACGAAGAAGTTCGTAACTAAAAGACTGTTGACACGACGGTTAAAAAATGACCCCAGGAGCATTTCCCAAATATAATAAATCAGAGCAACAACATTAAAGACGTTTCAAACTACACTGTAATGTAATGCGTTCCACGCCCACGCGCTGACCCGCACTGCAAAAGCCAAAAATTAAAATTCATAATTCTTCCACAAGGAATTCCGTGGCTGCTAAACCAAAACGACGACCAGAATTGTTTTGCCACCTGATACCGAAATCCCAATGATACGACTATGCTCAAAACTATAATCATCGCCCACAATCCATGAAAACCATAAAGGATATTGATGAAGTGTAGGATCAGGTGCTTTTCCCACGTTAAGGCCAGAAGACCTCCAAAATCTACAATCAGGAAGGCAGCTACCATCAGATGCAAACCTCTACCTCTTAAATTCGGGGAATTTGTGTAAAGTCAATTCGAGTATAATTTAACAATAGGGAAAATCCCTCGAACTAAACAGAGAAACTGACTAGCCACAAGACCACACTCACAACATGCCTGATCACGCGACACCCACAAAACTGGTCTCCTGAGACTTCAATGGCAGACGCATTGCACCTGCGAATACAACGTTTTACACTACTTCTTCTCCAGGAAACTACAGCGCACAACCCCCGCACCCCAGATCTTAAAAAATAAAAAATAAAAATAACACTAGTGAAACTCTCGCACACCACTCCATAAAGAAATCACACCATCAAGACCCGCAACTCAAATTCCACTTCCGTACGGACCCCAATTTCCATTCGGCGGACCTTGTCAGTATCGGGGTCGCTGATGATGAGCGCCTGCAGTTCGTTTTCAAGGACCACGCATTTGTAATCACGCTTGTCCGTGCGCGGCTTCAAGACGTCCGCTGCATCGGCCACGACCTCGGCTGATCCTCCACGCCCCATCTCCCACGCAGCGAGGAAAAGCTCGCCAGTCGAAAGATGAAACGGGAACTCAGAACAAACAGAATCGCTTCAGCAGGCGATGATTTCTACCTACGACGATGCAATCGCTGGTATGCACGCAGTGCTGAGGAATCGCGCAGACCAGGGAACTCACCTCGCGACTTGCAATGCAATAATCGCACTCGCAACGCCGAGAGACAAAACACCCCCAACATTCTCACCGCCTCCACCCACCGCCACCGCGCGTCTGCGGTGAAGGCAGCGTTCCCCTCCACGTCCGTCAGCGTGCCAGGGGGTGCTGGCACAAGCCTCCGTTCTATGGAAACTATTTTCCGAACACTAGCATTGAGGGTGGTCCATACTAATTTAAATATTCCACTTATCCGTGACGTCACACTCATAATGCTGTATGGGACAGATTCAAGAATGTTAAGGTTATATTAATTCCTAATGTGGACACCAATAGTGGGTTGTTTGTGGCAGTATAGTTAACTAACCAATTCCATATCAAGAATAATATTGATATAGTTGATCCTTGATTAATATCTCTTATGATTATATGTATGTATATTTATTTATTTATTATTTGGTTATTTTAAAATTATTATTTATGAAATGATAACTGTTAAGTGAAAAAGAATAATACATAATGAATTGTGAGATAACTTATAATGTGTTAGCATAAAAATTAGCTCAATAATATTTCAGATTATTTTATAATTAATTTTAAGGATGTTTTATTTTTACTATTTATTTCTTTTTAAATACCAATTACAAAATCTCAAGTAATTAAAAATTTATAAATTTTTATATAAAAAGTAATTTATTTACATTTAGGCATGTTTTCTTTGATATATATATATATATATATATATACATATTTTGTAAGGTTGCACAATTTTTTTAATCTAATGAGTTGTCTTGTTTGAAAACAATTGAGCCATGTAATACACTAAATATTATAACTCGAGAATTAATACAATATGCATTCAAAATAAATTGAAAAATGATATTATGTATGAATACAAAACAATAATACTTTAAAAAGTTTGTCTATTTACATTTAAAACTCTAAAATAAAATAGATTGATATCAGATTTATTCTTTAATATCAAAAATAATAATTAAATTCAATTTTAGAATTTAAATAGTTTTTTATATTTTAATACTATTAGTGTATTATTTTAGCTTCATCATCTAAATTAATTATTTACATATTTATTATTTGCATAAGACAATAGATACAATCATAGTATCATTTACTACATTCTTTGCTACTATTACTACTACTGAATTTTGATGACTATTATATGAGACAGTTTGGATACAACACAATGAGACGAAGAAGTCTCTTGATTGGTTGTGAAGAAGGGAACTTGGAGAACAAGGGATTTTAGGGTAGTCAAATTAATAATATACACAATATACCCAAATATAGACATATCGGCTAGCTTGTAGGTCTGCCTGGTTTGGACAACATTAGAAATTGCCCTATGAAGGCAACCAAGGTGGATGGAAGAATAAAGTCTTTGGACAGAATACATGGCACTAGGAGCCGAGCACCCATCACGTTAAACGGGAAGCAAAAGCGTTGTTGGGAGTTGAGAAACGCAAAAGTTAAAAAGATTCAAAAGTTAAAGTTCAGACAGCGGACTTCAGGAGGCGGACACCTGTGATGAGTGTGACTTGTCTGTCCATAATAGTCGGGCCCACCACGTGCTCATAAATTCCGTTCCTGGTCACGTGCAATCAGGGAAGCCAGATCCACGTCATGCCGAGCTTGAGCCCCAGTTATCCTGGTCAGGGTCACGGCCATCGTTCACACTGCCAAAATTGGAACGATATTTTTCCCAACACGATCCTTTTCATACCGAACAGCTAAAACAGAGCGAATCCGACATTCTAACCTTCAGCACCCACACCGTTGTGGCCAGGAAAGTGGGGCACCGCCTTCCTTCGATGCTCGGGAGTCACTTGCACGAGTTTCAAAAACAGGAAACGAACTTGTGGGTCCTATTTCCCAGATCCGAGTCCATGCCCCGCAGTGGATAAGAATTGAAGCATCTCAACGGTTTTGGGTTTCTGAAGTGGCTCTTCGCCGCACTGGTGGCTGCCCCACTCTCAAAACAAAGCTGCCTCCCTGATTACTTCCCGATGCACTCAATACATTCACTATGTCAGTAATTCTTCAGTGTCTTCCAGTGAAGGTTCGGAGCTCACAAAATAGAACGATGTTCAAACGAAACGAAACGGCATTCGGAATAGAGATAATATGCTCTTTTGCTCTCAAGAGGCAACCAAGTTTGGTGGAGGCAAGCTGTTCTGAATTTCAGGTTCGATGATTGTGCTCGAGTGCACGGCATCGCGGTTCCATCATTCTCGCCAGACCCTTTGGATCTTGTGTTTTTCCATTTATATTTTGTTTATATTATTGTTTTTCGTTCCAATTCTTCTTCGGGCTCCATTCATGAAAATTTGGGCCTGACTTTGTCTGGCCAATTTAGGACCAATTTAGCTACATTTCCGATCCGGTGTAGAAGATTGGAAGTCTTGGTGTCTCCATCAGGGCTACATGATAATGGCCTACGTTCTGGGTATAAAAGGGGATTTCTTATTCATAAAGCATCTGCTGCGTAACGGGAGATGTGAGTCCAACCCAATTCAGCATTGCCTTTATTTTGGAATTTTTTTCGGAGAAAAGATGGGATGTGATCCATAACAAAGAAGTCTTTCGATCTATCGAATGGAATAGACCGTCATTCTCTTGGTATCACCAAAGAACTGTTGATTCGTCGAAACAACTTTCCAGTCTCACCTGAAAACTGGGTAAAAGATGAGTTTGCTGCTGTGCCTGCCTTCACTTAGAGAGAATGCATGACCTGTTCAATATGTATTATCTACGAACAATGCCGAACAGAGCACTCGTACTTTCATCATTATTAAAGGAAGATGCACGAAATGGTTTATCCTATTCTTTGCAAGGGTCTTATCTGATGACGTATTATGTCTCGAAGACACTGGATTAAACATCTCTTCAAAATCCTAGCTTCCAAAACTTATTGAGGAAGATGATTTTAGGATGCAAAGATAAAAAAAAAAAAAAAAAAAAAAAAAAAAAAAAGGTTCATAAGCCAAGCTTCAGAAGTGTCCTGATCAAGATTGACACCGTGTGTTCAGGGCCCGCACATTCCTTCGAAACTACTCCAAAGCTTAGTCCAAGTAAAACCAAGTATCTTTTGCGAGACATGGAATAGAGAAAATCATTCGAAGAATTAGTGAGAAGGTGGAGACAATCACGCAAGCATAGAGATGTACGAAAAGCATCGGCGCTGTTCAGCCGGTAACATTCTCAAGAATACTTAATCCCATCGGCGTTTCTCTTCCTCGACATTGACCGGGTGATACCATTCAGGCTGCTGGATGTAACTACTCAGTCTGTAATTCAGGAACAGCTCCTCATTGTCCACCTCTCTCGTGGTAACCAACACCAGCGTGTGCACATCGCTGATTAAAGTGATCGGCTGCTCAGATCTTTCTACTGTAGAAAGCCTGGTATCAGCTGGATCTTCAGGGCGCTCCTTCTTACCCTCGTTGATCCAAAGAGGACCTCGTCGCTGCATATCGAACTCTTCATCATTTCCAAACATAACGTTGGGAATGTAAGCCCTCATGGATTGTTGACCAGAAATGGAGAATGTGTAAGGGCAGATCATGACGTTTGGATGAACTCCTTCAGGTGGATGATTGGCGAAGTGGCCCAGTGCAATCGGGCTCCTCCGTTCAAGCTCTGCACCTTCCAGCGGACCTTGCATCACCTTGCCGCCACCCACGAATTGCCAGAAACTTGGAAGAGACTGTCTCGCAGGTCCCGTTAGTTCGGCCGCTTGCTCGAAGGAGATTCCATTGTGACCATCCCACCACTCTCGGATGTCGTCGCCCTTGCCCCAAGGTTTGCCATCAATTACAAGCCCGTCATAGCGGGATATCAAGTAGCCATTATCGACATCCACCTTGGGATACCCAGGGATGTATCGATACTGTGAAGGAGAATAGACGACACCCGGGTACATGGATACCACAGTCCCTGGCTCAGCTCTTCCTTTGATGAAAAGACCCGTGCCCGCTTCTTCATGGGGTATACCGGATCGTTGCAAACATAACGTGAAGCCCGTGTGTTCTCTAAAGGCTGATGCTACTTGCTCCCTAGTTAATGGCTTCGTCTCAATTGCGTTTGCGCTGCGCGGTGTGGGCATATTGTCATTCCTAAATTTGGCATGTAACTCCCTCTTGATCCATAAACTATCCCACTTAAGGTCCTCGATAGGTAAAATACAACGATCCAAACATGTCGACATTTCGATGGGAAAGAACATATATCCAATGGAACAATACTCACCGAGGAGGAGCTTCAGGTTCTGGTTGTCTTCCAAGAGCGAAAAACAAACCGCTGGGTCGCTTCTTCTCTGAAGGCGGACTTGGAATTTCAGGAAGAGGATCCTTAAGAAGTATGCTGTCCAATACAGTCGACAATTTTTTAATCTGTCCATGAACTTGCTCTTGAACTTGTCGCTGCTGCTCTTCGAAAGGTGTCGCCTCAGCAAGTTTTGTGAGTTCCTCTGCCACCCCTATTTCCCCAGAAGTGGCCTCACGCTGGAAACTGTACACAACGGGACCAATTAAAGTTCACCCATGATTTTCAAACCGAAAAACTTGTGTGGTACCTATAGGTTAAATAACTACACTGTATAAAACTTATTTTTGACTAATACCTCGTAAGGAGGAAAAGTTTGTGGGTGTCAATTTCATGTTGAAGCCGCCGCTTGTCCACAGTACCGAACAGGGACCCTGTCCGCGACCACGTATCCCACATCTGCATTAAAAAATGGGCAATTCTTTAAGTAAATTTGAACAAAAAAAATGTAACTTACACATCCCAGCATGAATTTGTACGCCTCCGCTAAGATCCGGGAATGTGCAATTTGAAACTTCGAGTCAGTGCAAAATAAAAACAGCTGAATGAATGTTTAGAATTTGAAGAAAAAGAAAAAGAAAAGAAAAATAAAAAGAAAAGCACTCACAGACACAACCATCATATAGCGTCTAATACAAAAATTGGCAGATGAAAGCAGCAGCAGCCTTCCACGTTCCCCCACACGCCATTCCGCAATGCAGCATTTGGTGAAATTATCACTCGCATTGCGCATTAACCATAAGAAAACAGATGAACACGAGATGTTCAGCAACAGTATTCATGAAACCAAATCCATCTCGTGTCCACCCGCTTGGCGAGAGAAATCCAAAACCTCTCCTCACAGACACTCACTAAAAATTCACTAGCATCCAAAGATCCATAACCCACCTTCATTCACCAGCACTTATCACTGAAATTAAGAACAAAGAGAATTGCATCAACTCGAAAAGTAGATGCACGTACCCTCCGAATAGTGGCTGCCATAGCGTGACGAGTGTCAAAAGTGCGACATCGCCAGGAGAAAGAGTCACTTCAGATGGCAAGCGCTGCTATCAAAACCTGAGCCCTAATTGCGAAGAGAAAGGCTGCAAAGGGCTCGATACAGCTCGGCTGTGTGGCGTGATGAGTCCTTGTGCGGAGCGGTCGAGCGATTAGCACCTTCTCTGCGCATTCTTCTTCATGGCTCCACAAACCCGACGCCTGTTCCGAGAACCCCCTTCCTCTAGGGTTTTAGGGGGACGAGGACGACGAGCCCATGCTGCTTTGGGTGGAATCCCCTTGGCTTCTTCATGACCTGCTCATAAGCTAAAGCCTGAGGAAAATTTAACATCTTAAAGATTAGAAAACATTGGAAAATTAGGAAAAGAAGAGAGTAGAAAAGAAAAATGGATTATAGAAAAGTAAATAGAGTATTTGTTTATAAAATTAATAAAGACAAACATCTTATATATCTATATTATATGTCAATTGTTTTTATTCCTAAAATCTTAGAAAATTGAAGAATTTATTTTTTTATATTAGTGGGGGTCTAAAACGTTTAATAATATAAGAAAAAAAAAATTGATTATGTGTTTTTTCATATAGACACTTAATCACTAATATTCAAATTTTGAAACATGATTTGAAAAACATAATACAAGTTGAAGTTATATTGTTTTTACCATAGGCATCTACTTTTGAAACAATGTATTGAAAGATTTTATAGCATCTGCTCCCAAATTTATGGGAATGGTATGGAACACAAAATTTTATTTATAAAAAAATTTTAAAATTTTAAAAATTTTAAAAATATATTTAACAAATATAGTGATAATCATAGGAGATGATCATTAACACAATTCAAGCCTTCTAGGATAACATTTTATAAATAGAATATAATTTGGCATTGAAGCCACAATAATCAAATAGATAACACTTGGCATATATAAAATGTTTGATCATTTGATAATTACATGTGTAGATAAATTGTGATTGTACTCCACACTCTCATAGAATATATTAGAAGTTCTTCTTTACACAAATATCCATGTTATAAATTTAATCTTAACAAGTTTTCTTAAAATTATAATAAAAGAAAAGAAGTTGAGATCTTATGGCAAATTTAGTAAAAAAAACTTGGTAGTCAATATTCAAAGAAGCAAATGTGGCAATCTTAGACCAAAGATAGTTCAAATAATGCATAGTCTATACTAATACATAAAAAAAATACTATTTTCCATTAAGTGTAGGGATATCAATTTGCATAAGAAGCATGGACATATTGTATTAACATTTTAGCATTAATTATTTTGTTCAAAGGCAAACCATTGGTGATAAACCTCCCTTGGTTTACTTGGAAGTAAATCAACTATGACCATTACATACTAAATCAATTTGTTATCATAAATAGGTTGTGGCTATTATTCCACAATGCTATCATGTGGAACATTTGAGCCAAATGAAATAATAACATATTTAAAGATTAAATCTAATTTCTAGTCAAATTACATTACAAAATTTAGCTTAGAGTGATTAGTTATGACAACAATATATAGAGTGTCTTCCTAAAGATATATTACAAAATGAAAGATCTAAAATGCACCAAAAAGTATAATGTTTTTATAAATGCATGTTGTGAAAATGAAATCTATGTCAAATGGATCAAATATTAATTTCATTGGCAACTTTTCTACTCCATTAATTTAGCTAGTCTATAAAAAGAAAACTTATGATAAGTAAATAAGTAAACAACCATGTAAAGTTATCAACTGAATAAATCACCAATTTATTCCTATTTTTAAATTGATATAAAATTGCATATTGATATCTCTTTCTAGCAAGAAGATTTGTACTATATATATATATATATATATATATACATATACATATCATGCACATTACATGGAAATGGAATTATCAAAGTTTGCTACATTTGCACATTTTCAATTTTCAAAGTTCAAATTATGATTCACCTACTATCATTTTAATTTTATTGTTCTATTCAAATAACTACTGGTTTTTAGTCAATATTTTTATTAATTAGATGGATAAATTCTGGTTTTTAAATAATTCTTTTTATAGTAAAATAAATAAAAATAATTAGATACATAATTTATTAAAATTATTTTATATAACATACACCATAAATAAATTTCACTTAGAGAAAGCTTGTTCTAACATATATATATATATATGTTTCAATATATATTTTTGTAAATTTTGTTAAATTTAAAGTTGGTGAAAAAATTGTACTACTCAAATACTAATTAGAGCGATCCACATTTTTGCAAAGTCATAAACAATAACAATGTTTCTGCTAGTATTATTTTTTATTATTCTTTAAAAATTCCTGTCATTTTCTTCAAAATCTCTAGATTCCTTGTCGATAACCGTTTCCTCCAAGTGTGAACCCTCACGAGCCATCTTTAAACTCCCTTCCGCTGCTCTCCCCCACAAACGGGGTCTCTAATCGAACCCTTAATCACGAATTAGCGTAATCCAGCCCTTAATTGACCTTCGAAGTAATCATACCCTTAATCAAGCATTCGCGACGTGAATTTCCTTCGGTTAGGAGGGCACATTTAATGGTCAAGCATGGGCGATTGCATCGCCGACTCTCCGTTGCGGAAATCATCTTCCTGGCCTGTATCTCGACGTGGTATTCTTCAAAAAAACCCTGCGGAGTGGACATTTTCGGAAGCAGACTGGTTTTCGCTTGAACTCCCGCGTTTGAATGTGCATTTGCGGGAATTTCAAAAGAGTAAGGTCGAGATCGGAAGGCGGTGTGGAGAGGGAAGGAGACGGGTGACGGAGTCGGCTGAAATGGGATCAATTCTACCGTTAGGTTTGAGCAGCAGGAGGTGGTAACTGTCTATTACGTGACGGATCTTGTAAATCTCTTTTTGTATCACAAACTCCTACTCTACTTCCCCTCTGCATCTCCACCTCTCCCCCTCCCGCGCTCTCTCTTTCTCGTCGCAGCGTTTCTCGCTTTCTCGGCAGATTCGCGGCGATTGTAGCGACTTGTGTTCTTATTTTTGTGTGGATTTACGTTGTGCTTGTATGATTTGATGACTGAGTTTGTAATTCGGGAGCAAGGATCTGGGAGGAATAATGCGATCGTTGGGTGTGGCTGGCGTTGTTGTGTGTGTCAGCGGAGAGTGCTGAGCGAGAATTTTGTGTTAATCTAGTTGAATTTCGGAGATGCTGTGGTCTGCATGTTGAGCAGACATGTCCAATGTATCTCGATTTTGTTCTTCTTAGATTTGAGTGGTTTCATGAGCTGGAAAAGGCTCAGCAAACTTTGTAAAGATATTGGGTCAGTTGCCCTTGGGTTCATGGCATCCTTTGCATTTTACCGGCAAAGAATCGGAAGTAGATATATGCCTAGATTATCGTCAAGAATTTATTCCACGTGACGAAGCTTATATGTATCCTCAGCTAGTAAGGAGGCGAATAGCAATCTGAAATCCTCCAAAAAGCAGGGGTTGTCTACGAGCATGACGACGGAGCGTGAAGTCTCTCATCTCCAGGCGTGCAGTAGTCATGACATCGATTGTCCAATTTCCAAAAGTTCCTCAAATCAGTCGCCTCCAAAATGCCGGTCTTCTCGCCGTGCATCAAACATACAGGTCAGTGCCCGCTTATTCTAAGCGAGCTTGAAGCTGCTTCACAGATATTTAGAAATTGAAACAAATGCAAGTGCCTAAGTACCGTCCCTTTCTTGTGATGAGCTTCAGTTTAGCAGTCTGCATCTTGATCTTTTGATCACTATATTGTGGGTCGTCAACATCAATCTGTCATCTTAGTATGCAGTGGGTCACAGTTGTTTTGATTTACTTGGGTTTTGTTTCTTGAGGTTCTAGCCCTACATTCCCTCCATTATTGCCTGTCCTCTGATGGACCACAATGTGAAGTATGTTTTGCAGAGAAATTTGAATGAAGTGTCTCTACTAGATCTTCTTAGATTGGCCAGGCGGCTCAAATATCCAACCCTCACCACTTTGCGCTTGTTTGTTTCTTTGGAGGATCAGCCACGTGGTAATCCTCAAATCAGTTGCCTATCTCCGGTTCTTCCTTCCTGTAAGTGTTATGAGATGACTTAATAAGACGTCATCTTAAGGACTCTATTTGACAAGATTAGGTGTTGTTCATTAGAGCAGTAGCTCTGCATTTTGGCGCTGCGGATCAGAGGACAACGGATGCTCTGTTCGCATTCACGAGGTCCTTCCTATGACACGCATTTGTATATAAAATTCCTTTTTAGGAGTTACAGGCAAGGTATTGTCTTAGCTTTGAGCTGATATGTGGAGTGCTCCCAATCTGAGTAACATTTATGTGTGCGGCAGGGCGCTTGCACGTGCCGTTGAAGGATGGATGCAGACTCTGGAATTGGGAGTATGCTTGGGACTACGTGACATCAACACAATGTGCCCTGCTATACGTATATAAACTTGTAACCTAGAATGAATTGGGGGCTTTGCTTCTGTAAGTGTACAGTTGTCGCGTATGATGTGCAAGTGTGGTTGGAGAACAAGAAAAGGGTCCCAAATGGTCTCATCTGCTATTTTGAAGATCCAAAGGGATGTCTCCAAGCTGCAGGAGTAGAGGGACGAGATCTGGAAAACGTGCACAGTTAATCTGCTTGTTTTTCTGCTGTTGAACACCGCAATGTTGGATGATTTCAGGTTCCTCCAGGACACTTCGACACCTTTCATTCGCAAACAGCAGACTTGGAGATGACATCCTTCAAGTGCTGGTGTTTATCGATCATCATCTACTTAGTCTACCGTGTCGTATCTGCTCAATACCTAGCCAGCATGCACGAGCTTGTTCTGCTTGTATAGTTGCACCGGTTCATCGAAGTTTCAATAGCTGCATATTCATTGTATTAAATTGTCACTGGCTTACAACATCTTTGAATTCGCAGGCTTCGAGTCTCCAGCATTGTCAACCTTTGCAGATCTTGAATTTATCAGGATGCGCCCTGACGGATGTATCGGCTGCTGTTATTACTGCTGTTGTTAAGGTCATTACACTAATTGGAGAGCTCTAAATTGACTAGTCTGACATTCTTGTATGTAACCAACGGAAAAGTCTAGCAGACTTACTGAAGAAAGAGGTGGGTGGATGGAATACAGGGAGAGATATCAAGCTCGCGCCCTCAATCACAAAATCTGAAGAAAAAGTTGCTAGCTGAACATAGATCACCGAAGTATGGTCAGCAATGGCGACAGAATGTTATTCTTGTTGGGAAATGGTCACCTGCACCGGATCCCGTGGTTAGCTGTCTGACTCTATCTACAGATGCAAACCATCTTTTACATGATCCGATCATATTGCGCTTGGTAAGTTATGCTTCATAATTATTTAATTGAACGATAAGAGTCAGGAATTTGTCGCTGGTGAAACAGGACAGCAATGCCATAACATCGAGAACAGAAATGAGCTGGGAAACTACTCTGCGAAAACCCACGATAGTCGGCAGCAATCGCCATGAAGTCGTTGGCAAGTCGACCAAGGCAACTAACTTTGGCTTGGTTGCTCTTGACCTCTCCTGCAACTCCTTTACCGACGCCCTCTCTGAGGAGCTCTGTCCTCTGCTATACAAGAAACCCCCTCTTCGTGGTAAGCACGCATCGCATGATGTTAAGTATTTAGAAGTTCATAAAAACCTAGGCGTCCTACATGCGGCATATTTTGACGTCGTTAGACTAAAACAGTGAAGGAGCCGTTACAAAATGAAAGTGATACTGCCATGCTCTTGACGGTGAAAGCGATGATATTTGGTGCTGAAGCGTTATCAAACACTACTCTTACTACCTCGAGCTTCAGTACCCTTAAAACTATTCTGGTTAGACTTGGCCCACGGTGAAAAATACAGTTGGTTTTATGAATAATCTGGTATTGAAAGAGGATTTCTTTCACACGATTCAGTCTTGAGTTTGAAGAGAGTCGCTGACTCGGTGAAAAATGGGTTGTTGCCTGTGGAAGCTTTGAACTTGAGATGCAATCAGATGACACGATCGGGAGCGAAACCGTTATTGGACGTGATGAAGGATTTGAGCATTTTGCGCCTCGTAGACATGCGTGGCAACACGGATGAGACTCTCTTAGGAATCCTAGAAAATGGAGAGCACTATACTACGTTTTCTACGTTCCAGGTTAATCCACATAATTCATGCTTCTTTCCTTTGCTAATTTTCTGGATGCTGCGAGGATTTAGTATGGTATGTAGACAGAGGGCCGTCCAAGTGCACTGAAAGTGATCCGAAGTCTGTCCAGTAGTTACTGAACATTGATTTATTATCATTATTATTATTATAACATTAGTCTTGATTTTTTTTTTTGGAAATCTCAGAGTCCATTCTGGATGGATCCCGAATCATTGGACCCCATCATATGCAGCTCCATTAAATGTCAATCGAACACCTCAGCAAATCGGTTGATGTTTACTTCGTCACCTCAATCGAATATGCCTGAGAAACAGCCCAATGCTCCCAGCACAAGTCATCACTCGTGTACTCTTAGAGGTGGAGGAGCAGCACGTATCCTGAGTCCTCGTAATACCATCAGTAGAGTGAGGAACGCAGGACGCAATGACAGCCCTGTCAAAAGCAATAAAGTCACTCCCAAATCAAACATCAACACAATCTCTTCGAGAGCGAACATCAGTCTTTCTTGCTCGGGAGCATCCGTTTCGAACGTGCAAGATGAGCATCGGGGAGTCCATTGCAGGCTGACGAGGCACGGCCACTGCTCGCATCATGTATCGCCGTCTCCGCACCAAGAGAATGAAGATACGTCAGATTACTATGAGCATAAGAGATTCATCTCCGCTCCAGTGAAGCAAAGACCTGCCGCCAACTCGGCAAGAATTAGCCCCGCTCGATCATTATGTCCAGAAAGAACCACTTTTGTCGATCAAAACAGCTATAGGCCATCCACCTCAGCGCACATCAATCCTTGTGACCAAGACTTGGATCGCAGGTTCACATCTCCCAGGACTCTTGACCTGCCGCGAGAGTATCCTATCTGGCATGATAGACCTGATGAAAATTACATAAGGGGCAGGGACATTTTGCATAGATACCCAAGTGGGGGTAAAAGGGCCCAGAGTGGCAGCTATAATGTCCGTAGCTTCAATAGCCTTGGAGATTACAACAATCAGGCCTTTAACAGAGACTACGAACACCATAACTCTTATAGAAAATTGTCCACTTCGCAACCGCCGTCAAGGCGATGGTTTGCGCCTATTTACAATACAAGAAGCGAAAGTCAAGGTAGAAGATCGCCGGACAAATCGTCTCCAATTCGTTGTCACCATCGATGCAAGTTACTGAACGATCGTCAAGAGCAGAGAAATATTAGACCAAGGGTTGCGAAGGGCGCTGTGGAAGATCATGGACAATCACTGCACCTCTATCCATCGCTGACCAAGCCCGCTCCGCTTTCAAACGACAAAAAAGAACTCGTTGAGTGGAACAATTTTGTTAACCAAATGACAATGACTCTTCTCAATCTCAAAGGTGAGATCCTTCACTAATTCTACCTTACTTGATTTTTATGATCTTACAATTAACCAAAGTTATTACGAAAGTCCATCTGAACGGTCGTTGTTCGTATCATTTCTGTGTCCCAGATGGACTCGACCATTTAATTGGATCAGCAGAGGGCGCAGTTGCTCACGAAGCAGCTACCAAGTTCCACCAGGTATTTGTTCTTGACATTCCTCGAACATGATTCCAGTTTTGCATCTCGCCCTCCTTTCCACATAATTGTCGCAGGTGGAAAGTGTGTGTGAGAGTGGAGTTTGGTGTCACAATCAATAGCTGTTTTTGGCAAACTTAATTAGAACTTCACTGTTGTTTGAAAGATCTCACAAGTCTTAGAAACAATTATGGGATTAATTTGCATGTTCTGTTATTATGTAGATGCCGAGCTCGTTCTTCAGATCGGGAATGCTACGCCTGCTGGGGCGGTCTTGTAAAGTCCTCAACTCTCACTTAACATCACTCACAAATAGACACAAGGTAAGCAAACGGCACATCAACGCAGAGAATCAGGCTCCCATGGGTAACGGTGAAACACGGGCAAAGGAAACATGCTCGAAAATAGGCGTAGACCAAGAATCGGTGGGAAAGCAAGAGAAAGGTCAGAAGCCTTTACAGAATGTGACGCAATCTGGTCTCTATAACAGCAAACAGCAGCACCCTCTTGCAGGCCCTCCTCTGACAACGTTGAAGGGAACAAACATTCCTCAAATAGCAAGTTAGTAAACTTGAAACTCATCTATCAAAGTACGTTATTTGTTTCAAACAGCTTGTTGTAAGTGGAACCAACTGTTGATGTTGGAAGAAGCTCAGAACGGACACCACGCATTGATAGATGTTTCCCACTCATCCTTCCTTCCAGAGACGTCGCTACAAAAATGTGGAATATATTGTAAACACGGACTGAGACTATCAACTGGTGAAACATGCTGTTTAACACAATCATTTTGTTTGTTTCTGGACCTATTATTTTGAAAGAATCAAAATACTAAAAAAATAAATCGCATTTATTGCCAGAATACTGCAACCAACTAATCGCAGGGTTTTAGCCAACTAGCTTGCTGGGTCAACGAGTTTCGTCATTCTCAAGCTGACAATTCAAAACGAATCGCAGTAAGAGCAACGATCGCAACCATATTTTCAAGACGATTAGATTTCTACTGCTCAGCTTAAGCGTTTCGTATTTGAGCTGAATTCGTAAAAAGTGATCAACTTTTTAGACACAATAAGAAAAATATGAACCATTGAAGGGCCAGAGAAGGATCCAAATTTTCTCTGTACCAATTCAGTTTCTTCACTGGCGATCTTCACAGACAACACTCCATTAAAGTGTCCAAAATTCTTTGCAGATGGACTGCCTCTGACCAAATCGATTCTGTTTAATTCCAATTGCATGCTCCTCTTGTGAGCGCACTGTAAACAGAGAAGAGAATAGATTCTCCATATTGCTTCATTGTTTTGGGTTTGCACCACTTGTTTCGATCACTGGATCAGTCTTAATATCATATTCTTGGATACTACTCCTAGATAACCATAAATAGGCAGCTTTCTCTCATTCATCATGAACGGAGCCCTACATCCATAATAATAGATCGTTCATGTACTTCTTTAGTGTGTAATACATAATATATTGCTGTTCTCTTATTCTCTCATGGTATCAATGCAGGCTAGGCCCCTAGACCTCGTTGTGTATTCTTCTTGTTATTATTCTTATGGTTTGGGTAGCACAGTAGTCAACATCTTCTATTGTGACACTTCGGTGTGAGCTTAGACTTTCCACCACAAAATCGTCACTTTCTTTACAATAGATCAAGTTGATACATTCAGTAGAACTAGTAGTTAGTATTACCATAGGAACAATAGACACCATAGTTTCCAGAGACGTTATGTTGTCAGGACCTTCAAATTTCAAGTTATGGCACTCCACATTGCAAAGTATACTCAAGCTAGATGATCTTTGGGATGTTATTGGTGAAGATCCACCTCCAGCACCAAAGACCTCCTTAATTGAACTCACTGATCCAGGTGCTACTCTCGAAGTCATCCATGGCATATTTAATACTACAACAACTTCACTCAGACAAAAACAAGTACAAGCCAAATCCTACATCGAACTCTCATTCCCACTCAAGATGTGGGTCTACATTGAAGATATTTGAGATCTGAGAGCTGCCTAGAACTCCCTAGAATCAATGTATTAAACAAACACGATTGCTAATACAATGTTGGTGCTCAACAAATGGAATACACTTTCCATGACAAAGCAGATGGATGTCTCCACCTTTATCATCAAAGTATATAAGAGCCAACGCATACTAAGCAGATTATAATCTTGATTCCAGCAGATTTGCCAAGCTAGATTCCATCTAGCTTGGCAAATGTAGAATGAGAGAACTACTCTATCTTTGGAGGAATTAAGCATTAGGCTTTGTAACAAAGAACATTTTATATACTTACAAAAAAAAATGAGTCCATAGAGGCTCTGATGACAAGGATTCAAGCCATGGTACAATGATGGTACAAACTAAAGTATAATACCTATGATTTCAAACCCTTGGATGGCCATCAACATTGATAACATTAATCTAAATGATTTTTATTGGAATAGGTATAAGAAATGAGGGCCTATCTCCCAAAATTGTCTAATACCAATTCTTGCCCAATTTGCCCCATCACCACAAGGATCACAATTGCTAAGGGACTATTACAAGCAATCTTACAATTCTAGAGTATTATCCCAATCAAGACATTATTAAGGGTTCAACTACAACTATGGCACAAACATACCAAAAGACATAAGTAGTGAACATTATTCATCACATTTTTTTTTGAAGAAATGCTTGAGGCTGCACTTGACACTTAGTTTAAAATCTGGTCCTAGAAAAAAGAATTAGATCTTTGACTTTAGTGCCTCAATATATTTTTTAGAAGATAGAAATTCTTTTCACTTCTTAGATCCATTCCAAATCAATTCAGTGATCTCAGTGAGAGGTCATGCACATGTAATTCAAGGATAAGGTCTTGTTCATGTATCTTTTCTATTTGGTGAAAAAAAAATCCTTAAGAATATTAATTATGTATTAGGCCTCTACCAAAACATTGTCTCAATAGAAAAATTCATTAATTTTGGATACATAACCTTCTTTGATTCTTCTATATGCATAGTTTTTACTAAAACTAAACTGCATATAGTAGTTGCTTTAAGAAAAAGAAAAAAATCAAACAACTTATATAAATTTTCAACTATCACTAAATCCTTAGTTTATAAATCCAAAATCAATTTCTTTGACTAAAGTATCATCTTAGATTAAAACTTTGGTAGAAATCAAATAATACCTATTCTTCTCTTACAACTTTGGCATTGTAGATTTGACCACATAAATTTTCTAAGACTTATCCTACTAAAAAAATATAATTTAGCTATTAGAATATTGCACTTTTTTGTAGTATTTCAAATGTAAATTGCTTGTCAATAAGACAAGCAAATTTACAAATAGTTTTTAAAATAGCCACTTTTTCAAGCTTCTCTAGTACTAGCATTCATCTATATTAACTAGTATAGAAAATTATTTGTTCTTTCATTAGATAAATCAAAATATTTTATACTATTCATCAATGACTTCAATAGGTGTTCTTGGATTTATTACATAGAAAGTAAACATGAGACTTTAGACCAATTCAAATAATCTTATGTCATGATCAAAAAATAAATACAATAAAAATTACTCACTCTTAGATCTGATCAAAGAAGCAAATTTTTCTTTCAAGACTTTGATTAGTACCTTTATTTTCATAGGATCAATTACAAGTTTACTGCTTATATTCTACAACAAAATAGAATCTCAAAGTAGTAAAATAGGTCAATTTTCAATATAGTTGCGACTATGATAATCGGAGGTTGTATATCCAAAATTCTTTTGAAAGAGGCTACATAAACCATTTGCATATAGCACCATTATCAAAAATCTAAAATATAATCTAATATAGCTTTTAGTATGTCAAATTGGAGCCTATTGGATTGTTAATCAAACTCTTTTAATGCAATATCTTTTTTTGACCTTGTTAAAATTGACAAATTGAATTAACAACCAATTTTGGCAACATCACAACAACCAATCTTGATAATATCATAACAACTATACAAACCATTGTCAATAATACCACCAACCAACTTTAAATCCTACTATTTTAATGGATGTTAGAAAATCAACTATGAAGATACATTTGCTCCAATTATAAAATGGAATATAATCTACTTACTGCTTGCATTGGATGCAAAATATAAATCGCCATTTTTTCACATAAATGTAAAAGCAACCTTCTTGCATAAAGTTTTGGAGCAAGAATTATACATATTATAATCAAAGGGATTTAAAATCACAAAAATAGAACACCTTGTATATAAGCTTTATAAGGCCTTTTATAAATTATAATAGGTGCTAAAGGCTTAGTATAAAAATATTGATACTTTCTTATTGAAATATGGTTTCACCAAGGATAAAGGTGATTACAACTTATATATTATTTTTGTTGAAAATAAAATTCTATTACTAGTTTTATATGGTGATGATCACCTAGTCATAGGAAGCTATCTAAAATGGATCATATGATTGAAACTATGGTTAAAAATATAATTCAAAATTTCTAATCTTGGTAAGGGAGATATGATGTTGTTCTTAAAAGCTGACTATATCTAAGTACAACAAGGCATATTTGTCACTCAACGTGCCTATCTATTAAAGATCCTTGAATTATTTGGCATGACTTTCTACCAACCAATTTCAACATCTTTGTTAGAAAGGCTCAAATTCTTTATCAATATGCAAGTCCTTAACTATGATTCAAAATAATATTTCTTCCTTATTAAAAAATTAATATATCTTATATATACACAATTTGAAATCTCTTATTCTACAAAAACCATAAACTATTTTATAGTGAGGTTATAAATGTTATATCTATAAGATGCTTAATGTATTTTATGTTACTTAGATAAAATAATCAATTATAAAATCTTATACAAATAAGATGCTAATTTATAAATAATATGCTATATTGATGTAGATTTTCTAATAAATTTAGAAAAAAGTATCATGAAGAGAGAAATTACCTTGAAAAAACATAGGACCTTTGGTTGCTACTAATTGCCATACTTTCTTATAAAAACTTTCAAAACATAAAAAACATTCAATAAAACTTGAATCCTTCATAAATTCTCTTGCTTTTTATACTATCAAAAACTTCTTTAATTAAATGTTTACAAAACAAATACAAAAAAGTCCAAAATCCTCTATAAAAGTCTTTATATCTTTCTCAAAGAGAATTGCTATTCTTTCAAAAACTTAAATCTTATCTTATTGTGAGAGTAAATTTCATCCCTTTAATCCAAGTTACAAGATGGTTTCAATTAAAAGTTTTTTATAATTCGTAGTGTAAAGTGAAAGAAAGAAATAACAAGAATAAATATAGAACAAATACAGAACAAATGAAATCAATAAAATCAAGCAATTATATAATCTAAAACTTCGTCACAATTTATTTACTAAATTTTTATTTAATAAAAATTTAAAATCTATTATTAAAATTTTGATTTTTTATCTTTCTAATGATATAAAAAATATATAAATTTAAATTACTATGATTAAATTATGAAGGTTAAACATAATAAATAAATAAATAAATATAAAATTAAAAAAAATATTTTATCTCAAAGATAACTTGTTTATAGATCAAGGATTTGAGCCTCACCAAAGTTCACATATAGTGTATATGGATTCCTAAAGAGAGGCCACGAAGCCTTAGTCTTATCTTTCTACCTACATCTAAGATGCTATAATCCATATAGGACTTATGCACCTCCTTTCTTATAAGGACTACACTAATTGGTGGTCTTCCTATTTTCTATTAGTAGAATCAATACTTTTTATGTTTTTGACTTCACCATGGTATTCAAAAATATCTAATTAGTCTTGGAGCTACATGTGGCCTTCAAAACTTTTTCAATTTCTTTATAATAGTTTCCAAAGTGATAAAACTCATTTTTACCAAAGTCTTAAAAATTACTCTAAAAATTTCTAAAAATTTCTATAATTTTTAATTTTTTTTATAATTCTAATATCAATATAAAGCTATAATTATTTATCTTAATATTTTTTATAATAATAAAATAAATTTAAATCTACTATAAATCCTATTTTTTATATAAATAATTATAAAGACACGAAGTTCTTTCTCATGCTTATTTTAACTACTAACTTAAATTTATAGTTTTTTTTATAAGTAATAAATATAGATAAAATAAAAATTTAGATATTGATCTTAATAAAAAAAATTAATATTAAAAATAAGTAAAAATACTAAATCAATTAAGATAATTGCTTCTAAGATTTATTAAGATTCTATTTTTATAAGTGACATTTTAGTTCTCTATTTATCTAAGAATTTCTACACAAT